GGATTTAATGCATTTTATGAAATGCTGAAGATAACAGAAAGTGTGTTTTGGATGCTGAATAATATATTATGTGAAAAATTTGTGTTATGAATTAGTGGTGTGTTTTAATTGGTCTTGCGGACCGAAGCTGCCTTTGGATTCGTTTTGTACACAAAAAGAAAGGAAGAAACTGGAAATTAATGGAAAAGACAAAAGACTAACATCAGAGATGGTATAACGGGAGGAGAAGGCTCATGACACAATGAATGGAAGAATTTTCTACTTACAGTAGGCTGTAGAAATGCAAATCCAACCAATTAGAAGAACCAGTCATCTTTTTAATTTTTTATTTTTAGGCCTCGGCTGCTTATTTACTCTTGAACATGCATTAGCTGGACCAGCCTGAAAAATACAGTTTTGAGTGTTATTTTGCGCTAAAGATTTGATTTTTCGATATAATATTTTGTAATTTTGACAATTTAGTTTTTCAAGTTCGGATGAGGTTTTAATGATTGAAGGGTTTACCAAGATGGCCACCAATTAAACTGGAGTGACAGTCTCACTCAAGACTATTTTGTATCTAAATTTAGTCTAATAATGCTATTTTCAGTCATTTTTGTGTGTGGGTGGCGAGAATGAAGCTCTTCGTGCTTTGCTCTGCACTGGCCCCGCCCCTCACCACACCTTCTATTCACGCCTTGGCCCCGCCCCTGCCCCCTTCTGATCATGCAAGTGCTGCAGATTGTTAAGGAGCTGGTGTCGCCCTCTCGCCGCCGTGCCAGTAGCCGATTTGCAGGTGTGTATGTGAAACTGTACAGAAGTCTACATTTGTATGTGTTTGGAGTAACTGAGTCTCTCTCATGATTTTGAAAAGTTTTTTAGTGGTTTCGCACTAGTGTATGTGAAAATGTTGTGCATTGTTTTATATGTCTGTGTGGATGGGAGGGGAGTCAAGGACAAAGTAAAGACTCATCTATTCATAAAATTGCTTTGTTCCTTTAAAATTGACTCACCTTCAACTCGCATGATTTTCTTTCTTCTGTGGAACACAATTTGCTGTTTTTTTTTTTTTTTTTAAATAAAAAAAAACCTTGTAGAACTACTGTTCGCCAAGGCCGATGTAATTGTCTTTTTTTTTTTAATTATTGACGTTGCAGAATACATTTTTCTGTTTGGCTGATAAGTGTCTGAAGTGGGGAACTTTTTTAGACAGAAATGTTAAACAAAGAAAGTAAACAATAAATGAAAAGAAGTGTCATAGTGTTTACCTTTCTATTATTGGTTATATAAGGCAAATTATATTATACTTTCTAATATATATTAATAAGCATATATATATATATATATAAGTGAATCTTTGAATCTCAATTTTAATTCCACAAACCTTGCGAACTTTAGGGAATCCTCCTGTTAAATCCTCTGAAGTGTGCATGTGTAGATTGCAGAAAAATGTGTATTCTGTATTACGGTCCATCTGTGTGAATTGGTTGGAAGACAAGAGAGCTTGGCTATCACTGGATAGTTATCAGTAGCGAACTTGAAATCCTTGATTTCAAACTAAGCTGTGCTATATCAAGTTGCCTGTTATGGCAAATTAATTGCATTCTGTATGCAAAATTACTGGTACCTTTATATAGGCTATCAGCCAGATATTGGCCAACAGGAACAGATCAAAATTCACATCATTATTTGTTGAAAATCTTCCTGCCACAGTTTTCAAAAGAGCAGCATGATCATTATTCAAAATGTCTCCTTCTGTGTTCTATGAAAGACAGAAGGTCAAATGGGTTCGGAACAACGTGATGATGTAATTGAGTGGGTGTACTTATTAATTTAAGACATGGACTGCACATTTTATATGAACCGTTCCAATCTGTGTACATTGATTTATGTGTGTTCAGTTGCTTCACATTGGAGCATCCACTCTTGAGAAACACAGCGGCCTTGAATCAACTAAACAGAAGTCTGGTTTGCATTGTTCTGTCTTTAATTTCAAAATAATGTGAAACTTTATTGATCAATTTAAACTCTAGGTTTAGCAATCCATGAAAGTCCCCTGCTAGCTGCGCCCATTATAGCTCATGGTTTCATACTCGCATATGTTTGCTGCAGGGGTTTTATTAAGAAAGTATGTGATATCTCCAAGTTAGTGTGAAATGAGCTAATTTCACTGTGAGTTTGTGTCATATTTAAATCTATTTGACATCTTTAAATTGTTGTTCACTTCCTCTACCAGCTTCTCCATTTATCAGCCTTTCTTTGTGTTTGTATGTGTGTGTGAGGATTTGTAAAGCAGGCACCTTTTGTAGACCATTGGATTCAAAGTGACAGTTCCTTGTTGATAATGTCGACTTATTTATGTTGTTGCATTATTTCCTGTCATTTTTCACTAGCTTCCTGGCAGTTGGAGTCTGCATCGCTTGCATGCTGTTAAATCTTACATCCTACATTGGGAAAAATAAATAAATAAAAGATTCCAAAATGGGCTTTACAGATAAATATAGTAGAAGAACCATTTTTGGGTTCCCCAAAGAACCTTTAAATAAACAGTTCTTAAAATGACCATTTTATTTTGGTGTGAAGCACATTTTAATAATCTGAAGATCCTTTTTCCACTATAAAGAACCTTTTGTCCAATGGAAAGGTTCCATGGAACCAAAGCTGTCAATAAAGAACCTTTATATTTAAGTGTAGTAGTATGTGAGATTTTATTAATTATAGTATGGTAAAAATAGTATATCAAAAGCCTTTTAACTGTATACAATTTTAGGAATATGTATCTGTGCATGCTTTTTCAGTTAAAATTACCCATAATCCCCTGTGCAAGAAGTGAGTGTGGAGTTAGTAATGGTTTCTTTTTATTTATTTTATTTTATTTATTTTTTTTTTAAAGATTTTAGAAATAATACATTTTAGGGTAATAAATTTAGCTTGATGTTTATGCTAGCATCCAAGGAATAATATAATGCCATGGAACAGGTTTACAACATATAGGCCTAGCTGACAATTTGATTGGCTGTTCTTAAGTGGAATGCGCTGATTCTGTCATTTGATTGGTTGATAGTCAAATGTTTAGTCTCAGGTCAGTGGTGTAACACGAGGATACGTAGGGGTAAATAATTTATCCACTGCTTCTCTCATCCTTTTCTATTTATAGGTTTCTTTCTTTTGCTCTCTTTTTTCTGTTCTGACTTATTTTCTGTTCTGCCTGCCTTCTTTTCCCCCCCCTTTCCTCCCACACTGCATTTTTACTACAAGGAAAACTCAATCAGTTATTTGAATATGGTAACAGAGCCAAAAGCTAAAACATGTTGTCATCTCAAAGGAAAATTGTTCAAAGGAAATTTTAATGAGGTCTTAAGATATTAGTTCATTCAAGTATAAAAAGTATGTGATGTTTTTCCTACAGTTTATTAGGTGAACTGAAAATAGATAAATGAGACAATCGTTGACAGCATAGAGCCATAAGAAGAATGTGGATAGCGTATTTCAGATAATCTTTGATATTTAAGAAATGTTTGAGCTCATATTGACATCTTTTGACTGGTATTAAATATGAGCACATTTTGAGATGTAGGTAAAAAGACTGTATAAGTCATTATAATCAGTAATTATTTATGTCCCCACTGGATGCAACAAATGCCTAGTTTATAATAGGTTTGAATGTTTTTGTCTCTTCGCTCCGGCCGGGAGACCCGGCATCACAATATGGTAAGGGGCGTAACATTTCCGTCACACGCTTGAGGTATTCGGCCAATCACAACGCACTGGATAGCTGGCCAATCAGAGCACACCTCGTGTTTCAGGCCG